AAGCTACTTTTTAGTAATTGGACTCTAACACTAATTTTATGACCACAATTCCCTTCTATGAAATAAAAATTTTTTCTCTTAGCTTTGAGCTTCCTCAGTTCGTCTCCTTCTCTCTCGTTAAAGCATCATGACTTGTTGCGGCCTTACTTACTTTCATTTCGGAGTTATTGTATTATTACATTCTATACAATCATAATTCTAATTCTTCTTTAGTCACCTTCTACTTCAGTCTTTTATGTGCTGATAAATCTTTTTTTTGTATTTTGAGTCTTTGACATTATTTTGCAGTTTCCTCTAGATTGCTGCACGACCTCCTCACACTACACTTCTGCCTTGAGGCATACGCTTAAAAGGGTTTCCACTGACAATATAGATGTGCTTTTTTGTATGCATTTCACCTCGTGTATTTCTTTTCTTCAATTTATTTTTTACTTGGTTCTTTGCTTTTCGTTGCTACTAACTCATGCATGGTAACCTCATGTGATTTACTTTTAGTATTTCTCATGTCAGTGTCTATAGAAATTAGATTAAAACGAAATGAATATAAGAGAAGATAGTATGATTCTTTGCCCGAGGAGAAAAAAGGGAAATGAGAAAAAGACGGGTAGAGAATTACTTTAAAAAAGTTAGATGTTAAAGTAGATGAAAATAAGAGCAGTTGGGACTCACGTTTAGCTGAATAGAAAAAAAGTTAAAATGAGGAAGAAAAAGAGGGAAGCCAGTCATTCTTGAAAAGAACAATGCAAAAAGGAAGGACAGATCACAATCTCCCTATTTTAGAAACATCAGATAAGAAAATTGAAGATTGTTATTCAAATATAAGAAAATGCAAAAGCGAAAGTTCTTCGGATAAACAATACAGACAAGTTAAACACGCCAAAAAATATATAAATGAAGATGCTGACAAAGAAGAGTATATGAAAATAGCTCATAAAAATATAGACAGTAGTTTTGTTCAACACAAATGCGGATCATTACAAGGAGCTTCCACATTAAAAAAGTTATTGTTTGGCCAAAGGACGTCCGAAAAATGCAACATGTGTTTGCGACTGACTTTAAGTACCTACCTTGCCGCCGTAGTCAACTAGGGATTCCAATAAACGATCTCCCAGAAAATCCTACTATAGGTAAATTATCTTATATGGATATAGGGAAAAAAGAAAGAAGTTTATTTCGTAAAAAGAAGTTTATATCGTAAATTATCTAACATGGATTTAGGGAAAAAAGAAAGAAGTTTATTTCAGTTCGCATTATTATAAGCACATGCTTTTGATGCTGGCACCAAACTAAGAAGAGGACTATTTTCATACTTACAGATTTAGCAGAAAAAGAAAAAGGTCATATTGCTTATTTCAAAACTTCTGAGATAGGTTCGCCTACAATACATTTCCTTCTCAGGCATAAACTATATTTGGTATTTAATTAAAATAGTAAAAGAATTCTGGTTATCTAATGAATATAGAATTTTGCAGGCTCCCTTCCAATCAAACAAACAATGAGGTGCATAATGAACCTTCCACATCAATGTGTTCTCCTATAAATCAATCTGTCCGTTGGCAAATTGTTTAAAAAAAGGGACTCATATTGCCTTAAAATTGTTCCCACTGAAGAGGAAATTATGCCTAGACCAAAATTTTGTACACACTGTGGAGCTAAAATGTTTCATTGAGAATCTAAGGGATTCTGCTGTTAAGATTTCAGAAGGTCAAGTTTTACTAGCTATAAACGAACTTTCTAATGAATTATATGAAGTATACACGTCAAATACGAATAATTCTATACTATTTTTCAAATATGGTCGGACCTATAATAATTCATTTGCTTTTACGTCATCTAGTGTCTAATATGATAAAGACTTGTGTAGAAGAAATAAAGGGATTTATATCTTTAGAGTTCAAGGTCAGGTTTACCATTATATTAATGACCTACCACCACCTAATAACCGTCCTTCTTACCTACAATTATATTTCTGATACTGAGCATGAAATTGATCGCGGAATGAACAATTCTAAGCATTTGAATTATGAAATCATACATATTATTCAAAATTTTAAAGTAAATCCTTATGCAATGTCCTTTCGAACATTAGAAAATGTACGTGATTTAGAAAACCACGGAATCATCATAAAGGCACATCCCGAATTAGATCAACATATATATAACCTACCTACAAATTCACAAGTAGCAGCAATCTGGGTTGAAATGATGTTTCTAAAGAACTTAAGGAAAGGGATATTATTGTTTGTAGCAATGCGGGCCATAGTTATAAAGTTCAACATTATTTTGGCCGCTATGACCCTTTACAGTATCCTTTATTATATCCATACGGTGATACTGGCTGGCATAAAGGGATTAAAAGAATTACAAAGGAAAAAACCAAATTGTGTGCTCTACCTAAGCAGCCCCTACATACAAGTCAATTTGCTTCACCTACTGAATTAATAGAAAATGAACAAAAGAGCAAGTTTAACAAACTTGTAAATGCTCTTTCATTATTTTCCCATGTTTTACTGACAAAGTGATTATATATTGTCATTTCATACTTTTATTTAACAGAACACAGATAAAAATTAAAAATTGGTGGCACTTTCTTAACAGTTCATATTAGCATAGTGGTTCATGATAACTAAAATTTTTTGTGATGGTTCCTTGAAAAATTAACATATTTATGGTGGTTCCCCAAAACACCATCATACCTTATGGTGGTTTTATATATAAAAAAACCTACTTTCATTTAACAGAACATGGATAGAAATTATGATTTGGTGGCACTTTGTTAACAGTTCATCTATCACCGTGGTTTTACGAAAACTGAAATTTTTTGGTAGTTCTCTGAAAAACCACCATATTTTGTAGTGGTTTCATATAAAAAAAACCCTAAAGGGAAAAGAGAGCAATGACAGTATAGTTGTAACTTCAAACATCTTACTTGCACCAGAATTAACAAATGTAATTATGCGTAGAAGTAGATACGAAGGACTACAAAGTCAAACTTATCCAAAAAGAAAAACACGAAAACAAAAAAATCATGCATCAAATGGGAAAAAAAGGAATCCTAAGAAGGAAGTTAAAATTGAGGAATCGAAAGTATCCAGTGCTTACTTCTGAGCTGCTAAGATTGCAAAAAGAGGTACAAGTACCACCATCTTCTTGGACCCATGGAAGCAAGATTTACAGCCTCCAACTTTGGGCCCTGGAAAATGAATGAGAAGTATCAAATACGCCCTTAAAGTGGCCTGATAATTTTTTATCTCATGGAATAAGGCAACACACCAAAAATTGGCTTAAAAAGTATTAATAGTTAGAAATTAATAAAGTTTACTGGTATTCAAATTTCAAACAACTTACAGTTGTGAACTTTAAACCTATAAATTTAGATAGTACAGAGAGAAGAAGAAAACATACTTTCCACATAAAACTGGAACTGTGCAAGTGGATATCCACTCTAGAGACACGCCTCATATAAGAGTCATCAAATGGCCAAAAAAAAATTATGCAAACAATCATATAACAAATATGTTCTGAAACCTACAACAGAATCCTCATCAATATATAACATAACAAAAATTGGATAAAGCTCCAACACTTTCTGTTTGATTGTTTAAAGGTCCATCTTAAGAAAGCCTATGTGCAAAGCAAATATATTGTATTCATTAATCTCCTTTTGGCATATCCCTCACATGTTTATACAAGATATATTGATATAGATTGTGCATCATAGTTTACAAAACTTGCAGATTCAAATATCAGTCTAAGTTACATATTTAGTCAATCAAAAATTTATTACAATAAAAAAAACAGCTAGTTTGAGACAAGAACCCTTCAAAAGAAGAAATTTCCATCATTTTAGATCGATTTCTATTACAAAGTATTTTGCCACATACTGAACAAGAAACTGAATGCAGTGCCTATACACTGCAGTTTGAGAAATGAACAAATAAGACAGAATCTTAACATAAAAGAAGCCCCCAATCATCTAAAAGAAACATCTTTTTCAGTGGAAACTAAATTCTTAACTTCCATTAGATGTTCATCATTAGATATGTGAAGCATACATCGCAAGTTAGATAACAATGCTTCTTGATCCCAACTTATGGGACCAGAAGCATACAATGCCATCAGAGTAGACTTGTAAGCATGCAACTCTAGCTGATGAACGTCTTCTATTGGAAATCCTTTTGTAGGAAGAGATATATCTCTTCCTAAGAAAGAAGTTTCAGCAACACTCGAACAACTATCCAGATATTGTGTAAGACTATTTACAGTATAATGGAGTGAGCTATACGGACTATTGTTTGCACTACAACTACCGACAGATGATAAGACACTCATTTTATCACTATCTGGATTTTCTCTGAAGTAACCATTAATATCAGAATTGTTTATTTTCTCCCCTTTCTGAGGTTCAGAAAATCCTGTTCTATTGTTCAAGGAAGCATGCATGTCTTTTTCACCCAACATCTTTTGTGGGGAAACAACAGCATCTACCTTTTCGCGTCGATTTGGTGAAGTTTCTGCAACAACTTGATCAATAATTCCCTCTTTGTCGATTCTTCTTATCTTCTTGCCAGCTCCTGTGCATGAATCCACAATCAGAGGACAGTTGTGAGGCCTTTTCTTCGAGTACTTTAAGAGAATCTGAGAGATAGGGTAGTCGTTTTCAACCATCAAATGAGAATCTTTTGAACAATAATTCTCTTCTAAACATGGCTTTGGCTTGTGACGGATGAGCTTTTCTTCCTTTGGCAGCATATATATTTCTCCATTGCAACATTTACCAGAATTCTGCAGTAAAAGCAACAAAATTCAGACACAACAAAAATAAAACAATATAAAACAGCAGCTTGGCAATAACTCCTAATTTAGTATAAAGGAAGCTGAAAGGGGGCTACCAAGTAAGAGAAGAATAAAACATATGAAGCTGTTGAGAATGATTCGCCAATATTAGAAAAAGACCATAAGTGTTGGGTGAAAGTAAATCAAAAGTGGAGGGAAACACAAGATTAATGAAACATTGTCTTGCCAAGATAGGCGCAGTCTGATACAGGATGAGTGAGCTCTGAACTCCATGGACGACCCAAGGACTCTAACAAAGAAGTGATCTCGGCCAAGAATCCTTGGCACCTCTCCAAGCTTCCATGAATGGTTATTATATACTTCAACAATGTCACCGGGCACCCAACATTTAAGGCCCTCCACAGCAGCAGGAGGACAGGGCCTAATGGCCTTCCTCTTTACCTTGTCAATAGTAGATTCTACGTCTAAATGAAAGGAATCATATTTAAATGATACGTGCTGCCATTGCCTGAGATTATTTGTGCACATAACTATGAACCTGAAGGCAACTCTCTCTTGTCCAAAACCTCAACTTTAGTCCCTTCCTTGAATATCATGATCCCAATGATGATGCCAAATCCAACTTATTCAAACGCTAACCGAAATAAAGAAATTAATATCAGGATGAGAGCCAATTCAAATTCTTCTAAAAACAATGAAGAAGAATAAGTATGATCACAATCCATAAGAGAGGGACATGAAACCCTCTGAATCCTCGAAACCCTAGTTTATTCGGATTCTGACATACGAGCATTATCATAATCTAGCGATCAACATTGATCAACAAAAATGCAGTAAATTAATTAAAAAATATAAATTAACGGAAATTACTGAAAATTAAGCAATATTAAATTCGCAGCATTTTGCACGGCGAAAAACTTCATCGAGATTCATACAACAAAGAATAATCAATAAGTATGGACGTATTTCTCAAAAAATATTCAAAATTACAAGAATAAACAAACTGACCTCTTGATCGACAACAAATCTTCAAATACTGATCTAAATCGAAGAACAATTCGAGAAATTTCCTAGAATAATTTTGGTGTGCAATTCTTCGAACAGGATTAGGCGAAATTCTATATACGGGTTCTTAAAATTCGGGGAAATTTTTTGGATATCCGGTTGGTCTGTTTTTGGTTCGGGTACGGTTGGAGGAGGATTTGAACGTGATCCGGATGGAACGGAGCTTTGCAGTTCTGAGTTTGAGTCGGATTCGGGTGCAGTCTGAAGCGGGTTTGGCCCGTTTCAAATAGAGCAGGACAAGTAAGTAGTGCATTCTACTTCTTTATTACTAAAGGAAAACAACAAAAAATTTATAATGAACAGTAACATAAGATTTTTTAATTAACAATGTTCACATGCCCACATTTAAATAACCAACTATAAAAATAACCACCTCCCCAATTTTCCTTTCACCTGCTCACGTTTTCCTTCAACTCCACACCAACGCTCCTACAAAGTGGTTTTTTTTTGGAAAACCACCCCACCCCCACCTCATACCGCCCCACGTTCTCTCTCTCTCTCTCTCTCTCTCT